TGGGCTGGTGGATGCGGTGCACGAGGCTTGTGAAAGCTTGTCAGATGGCTGAGCGAAACGTTCGAGAAGGTGTTCGAGACGTGTTCGTGATGGGTTGACATGTGCGGGATAGAGTTGGGGATGGTGTGGTGGCGTTTGAGGATGCGGGTGGGCGGCGAGAATGGGGCTAAGACGCATTGGGATGGCGCGGGGTTTGGGAGAGGCTTACTTTGAGTTGGCCGCGTCTTCCTCTTCTGCACTACAACACATCAACGCTCTTCAAAGCTACCAAAACCACGATGTTTCCGCCGCATGATGCTGCCGTCCGGCATGAGATTGCAGCTACCTCCCCTGCCCACAAATTCTCTTTACAAAAGTGCACTAATAAATCCTCTCATAGCGCTGCTAAGCTACGTGTAACAAAGCACTGTGCATAATCTCAGATCAAAACAATCGAAAACTAGTGCCATGTTCTGTTTTCTTATCTTCCGGGCAACACTACATATCTGCGCTCGGCATGCACTTCTATCATCCTCATGACGCTACTGCCGCGAGGTGCCCATAAATCTGTCCCCCCATACCCCCGTCTTCTTCATTACACCACGTTTACAGTTTTAACTCAAAAACTGACCGATCAAGAACCATGCTCAATCTTGAACATGGCGACTTCATCTCTTTCTAAAAACTCGATCAAAGAGTGTATGAGAAGTCTCGTCCGACCGAATTTGACCGAAACTTGGCAGGTCATTGTCGATGAGCGCGCCAGCGGACTCTGGAAATCGTATATCAACCAAAAAACGTCGAGCAAACCTGGAATGACGACCGTGTCTCTTTCTCCAAAGATATTATCTTGTCCGAACATGAGAAGGCTCGCCTGATGACATTGCACATTAAAACCATGAGATCGCGTTCGGATGAGCGCGTTAGGGTACTCTGAGAAGCGCATAGAAACCAGAAAGTAACTCGGAGTTTAAAGATGGCGCCTTCTTCTCCTTTCTTCAAAATTACACTTCAAAACGCCATGAGAAGGCTCACCCGATCAACATTGCATACCAAAACCAGAAGATAACTTGCTGATGAGTGCGTCCGCGGATTTTGAAAAGTATAGAGATACCAGAAAGGACGGCCAACACTTAATATGGCGAACTCCTCTGTTTCTCCAAAACTATGCAAGCCAGTAGGCATGAGAAGGCCCGTCTAACCGACTTTAAATAACAAAATCGGGCAAGCGGAGAAGGTATGGGTGCGCCTGTGGACTCTGAAACTCATCGACCACGTCTGCATGTGGTCTCTTCCTCTTTCCTTCCTTCCAGAGTTCATCTCACTAAAAGCCAAGTTCAACGTCTCCACGTCCGTGCAGCAGCCCAATCCACCAAAAGATCAAGCTTTGTATCTTATGTGCAAAGAGGGACAATTCGAACTGATGTCTCAAAAACTCCAGGCGACTCTGGAATGTCAAAAAATATTCTTTGACGCGACATGCGTCCTTTTCTCCTCTTCGCTTCGACTCCACGCAATCGCTTGGCGTGGAGAGCGTCACGAGCAGTGCGACGAATATATAACCCCCCTCTTCTACCCTTCTTCCTCATGGTATCTTCTCTATATTTGAGTATTTAAAATACAAAAAACTCAAGATGAGGATTGGATGGCTGCGCCGTCTCTTCCAAAAAAGCCCAAGCGACTACTGAATGTGTCTGCCTCTCTTCCTCTTTCGGTCTTTTAGTCCCTTCTCCATACTTGAGTGTTCAAAGCACCAAATAAGTCCAAAGTCCCTGCTATGTGTGTGTCGTCTTCTCCAAAATTGCAACTGCTGCCGCTATGAGCAAGTGTCTGCCTCCCTTCTTCCCCGTCCACCTTTCGATATCCTCGCCACACTTGAGTACTCAAATATACCAAAACCCTAGAAGAGATACTGCATGGCTGCGCCGTCTTCTTCAAATATCTACAAGATATCTGTTCATGAGTCTGCCTTTCTTCCTCTCCTTCGACGAAACATCAAAACATTCAGGTTCACCTCCGCATGAGAGCAGCTCTTTCTCTGGGGATGAATTAAATCCTCATGAAATTGGAACATGAGGAGCACCTTCTCCTCCGACCTGAACAGCAAGAACAAAAGGATAATCTGGTCAAACCGATGTGTCCGCGGTCCACCTCGAGCCTTAATATACCAAAAGGGAGCCACTCAACACTCATGTGTGCTTCCAAAACCAACGCGCCTTTAACAACATGTCGCTTTCTGCGGTCGTCTCCGCCTCTTAATCTTCAAAGACGACCACAACAAGCTCATGATCTGTGCAAGAATTACAAAGAGAAAGAAACCATGGAGCTTTCTTGCGGGTCCAGACTTACCATTGCCTGGTGCACCACCCGCAGACTGAAGACTAGAATATTGAAATGGTGCTCGACTTTCGCTCATGACTCTGCTGGTGGTGTGCGCAGCTCTTATATGAATATAAAATACAAGTACGACTTAGCCCGAGTTCGTGGACTTGATGTGATTGGGAGTGATGGTAACCATCATCATCATCATCATTCCGACAATGAAGGCTCTGAGACTCAATTGGTACAACACACACCAATATCAAATTGAACATCGATCACATCTCAATATTTGGACAGCACTGCAATTATACTTTTTATTATCAAGCGCATACTAAGCTACGTGAGACGCCATCCATCCATCCCGATTCCGAAGGAATAAGAAAAACTACAAGACCCTCCTCAAGCCTACCAGGAGGTCGCAGAGGGGATATCGTCGTGATGCTAATGTTACAGGTTTCCATTTTCCGCCTATCCGTACGCAGATCGTAAGGTCGTGAAGTGATGCGTATGGCAGTCACATCGAGAGAAGACATGACCGAACGCTACTTGTCGGTTATTGTGAGGTGCTTACAACTCCTGCTTAGCAGAGCTGGCGCTAGCGGCGGCAGCATCGTATCCGCTCTGAGCAGACTTGGAGGCAACCGACGACGCGCTGGAAGCAGAGGATGAGGCAGCGGCGTTAGCGCTGGCAGCGGACTTGGAGATGGAGGAAGAGGATGAGGACGCGGCCTTGCCAGCAGCACCGCTGAGGGAGCTGGCGCTGGAAGCGGCGCGGACGGAAGCAGAGCTGGCGCTGGATCCAGCAGCGTCGGTAGCGGAGGTAACGCTGGCCTGCGCGAGACCAATCTGCTGCTTGATCAAGTCGGTGTAGTAGGCGAAGCCACCGGTGGCAGCAGCGTACTGTTGGCCGACGTTGGAGGTAGCAGCACCGTAAGCGGAAGCACCAGAGGCAGAGACGGAGCCGGCAGATGCAGAGGCGCTGTCACCGTAAAGGCGGGCACGGTGCTTGCGGGCGAGAGCGATGAGCTCGTTGCGCTTGGAGCCCTGGGGAACCTTGATACCGTTCTTGTCAGCCCACTCCTTGATCTGGCTGTCAGACCAGGAGTCGAGAAGGGCGTCGCTGAGGCTTTGCTGGGCGTTGGCAGCAGCGGAAGAGACGGAAGCGTAGGCGCCCTGGGACTGCTGGCTGGCGAGACGAGACTGGCGACGGAGAGCAGCGATCATCGAGTCGCGGGTGTTGGGCTGGGGGACGTTGTAGCCGCGCTCATCAAACCAAGATTTGAGGTCAGAGTCAGACCAGGAAGCGTAGAGCCAGTCACCGGGGTAGTTGGCAGTCTCCTTGGCCTTCTCAGCCACGGACTGGTAGTTGTTACGGACGGCAGCGAGGAGAGAGTCACGCTGGCGGGGCTGGGGGACGGGAATGCCGTGCTTATCGGCGAAAGCCTTGAGCTGAGAGTCGGACCAACTGCAGATTGTCAGTACTGTGCTAGAGGAAGGTTTCTGGGTACTCACGAGTCAAAGATCCAGTCCTTGACACTACCATAGGCCTGGTTCGCGGAGTCCTCGGTCTCGGTCCAGTACACCTTGACCTGCTCAGCGAGGCTCTTGGCGTCCTTCTCGGTGCCCTTCTTCGCCTGCTGGCCCTTGAGGGTCAGGTAGTTCTGAAGGGTCTGCGCATCCCAGCTGGTGTAGGGAGTGACAACCTTGTCGTTCCAGTTGGCCTTGACAGTCGACTGGAGGTTCTTGCGGTCCGAGGGGCTGGGGTGGGGAACGCCGTGGTCGCTGAGCCAGCGCTCAAGCTCGGTCTCGTGCCACTTGTCGTAGACTGCTTCCTGGCGTCAGTATACTGCTGCATGGCGCTGTGGACAAATCAAAACAAACGGGAGGGGTTATGTACTATACGCACCGGCGCTTCCAAACCAGCTGTTGGCCGTTGCCGTGGCAGCAAGGGACACCACGAAGGTGGATGTAAGGGAGAACCTCATGATGTGTGGCTGCCGAAGTGAGGATGTGCTTGATATCGATTAATGAAGCAAAGACGAGGGTTTGAAGGGTAGGCAAACTCGGCAGAGGTGTGAGAGCTAGAAGGGTAGTGGTGGGCAGCGAGTTTATGAGGGGAGGGAACAGACAATGGCGGGTAGATTGTGTGCGTGCGAGTGACGTAGTGCTGCACGTATGGAGCTTGGGCAAACAAGATCCCCAACGCGCCTGCCTCGCAGAGCAGCCAATGAGGAGCTATGGCCACATGCAACCGCGTCTTTTGGCTGTGCGCAATTGTGAGATCGCCTTTCAGGAGCACGGTCTAGGCCCTGTATATGCTTGACGTTTTCGCAGTAAGAGAGCTCCGAGGCCTGTCACTCTGGTTTAGAAAGGCAGAGAGCATCATCGTAGCACAAGTCGTGCGAAATAGCGCCCCTCTGCCGGGCGTTGTGTCGCGATGGCATTTCAAAAAAATCCCATCACGTCGACAAATGCGGGGGCGATCCACACGCTAGCCCCCTACGTCATCCCCAAACATGCACAAAACTTGTGAAGCCAAGCCTACTTTCAGCGCCCCGACGATGGATAGACAGCACAAGACACGTTGTTTATGGCTGCTTATGTTTGATAAATGTTGTACATTTCATGACACTTCTACGAGTCAATTCAGCTAATTGTACACCATGCTAATGTTGTCCGAACATTCACCCGCCCTTTGCTTATCCTCGTACGCCTTCGGAGCCGCTTCGTCCACCTTCGCCTGTAAATGTGTTAGCGACATGCCAATGCCCTTCGTCAAGCTATGACATACCTTTCCAGAAGCCGCCGGGGACTTTGTCCTTCTCTGCCTCTTCGTTGCTGACCTTCTCATGCGCCTGTTCCGCCCTGTTATCCATGTCCTTGTTGTGTTGCTTGACGTCCTCGCTCTGCTCTTCAGAAGCCGGCGGGTTTTCGTTGAGTATTTTGGGTTTCGCACCTTTGACTTCGTTGGGCGAGGGCTTGTTGTCTTGGCCCTGCTTGACGGCTGGCTCTTTGTTGTCCTTCATCTGGCGGGCCGATGTCGAGAACTCGCGCTTGCCAGAAGAGCTCTTAGGAGCCGGTGACTCGGATGTAGGCTTGGGAGAGTCATTCTGGCTGGCGTTGCTGTCCTTGTTCGGCGACGACGAAGATTTGCCCTGGGCGACCTTGGGAGGTGCGGGGCCGGGGTGCTCGAGGTTCTCGCTGGGGTTGGCGCCCTGCTTCTCGGGCTTCTCTCCAGCTGGGTTGCCCTTACCAGAGCCGTAATCTGATGTCGCGAAACGAACTTGGACGCGGGCACGGGGAGCCGCCGAGAGGGCTGCGGGCCGTAGTGCTGCCGAGCGCAGCATTGACATGGGTCGTAGGAAGCTCATGATGTGAATTGGTGAGATGCAATTGAAACTGACAAAGATTCCTGTGTTGTGAGGTGTGTAGTTCAAAGTTGAGGTTGCCCGCCAAACGTAGGGTCTAGAGCTGCAATAAGTCCAAGCTCATTGTTGACGTCATGGTTTCCTCAAGTGCTAAGCTTCCAGCCGCAACGCACGTCACAGGAGGCTCGCATAACCACATCTGCAGTGCCGCAGCGACGATCAGCTAGCCTCTCAAACACCAGCCATTCACACGATATTGCACTTCAGCCGCTGTTTAGTGTAGATAAGACCTTGTTTGGGGGACTTTGAAGCCGGTTATGGTGACGGAGAGGCGCGTTGCATCTCAGGCGTCTCTTCGGCATGAGCAGAACACATGCCAATGGCTTGCGATAACGCGGAGCGAGCAGCGAGCCATTACTACTGGGACGACAATCGCCGGCATTTGCACAAAAGACTCGTAGTTCCAAGAATGGGCTATCTTACCACTCACAATAAACAATAACATGGACCTTCCTCTCAAGACCCGGATAATGACAATCCGTGATATCATCAGCATCGTCCTTCTCATCGGCCTCTTTACACCCGACCGTCTTGCCCTGACCCATGCTAGGACAATGAAGCACACCCGCATTAGTCCCATCGCTCAGGTATTTGCAGTCCTCTTCTCCAAATAGTGGCATGGTGAAGGTGCCGTGCGGCCACGGTGGAGTTGATAGGGCAGAAGGATCCGACCATTGCCGCGAGACGTCGTTGAGTACGGGGACGCTGCAGCCGTCCGCCTGCGTGTTCGGCTTGGTCTCGAAGAATGTTTAGTTGTTGTAGTCTTCGCCATTGCCTTTTGTGTTCCGGAAGATCACCGATAATGCCTTTGTCGGAGGCTCGGTTTGAGGTGGTGGCGGAGGTTGCGATGCAGGGGATGGCTTAGGCACTGCTGAAGGTGTTTTCGTCGTGCTAGGCTGTGCCGGTGTCCACGTAAGAAACGGAGTCTCCGACGTCAAAGAAGACTTTGAAGTTGGTGATGATGTGGCTATTGACGAGGGCGGTGGGCTTGAGCTTTCGCCGGTTGAGTCGCTCAATGACGGCCTGGCCGTTGTCTGGAGGGTGGACGGAGTAGGCGCAGTCAAAGCTGGTGATGCGATGGATGATACCGGTGATACCGACAAGCTGTTGCTAGGTCGAGCACAAGTGTCGCCATCTTGACGTCTCAACAAAGCCTCGTACTCTTTCCACTCTGCTTCGTCCGTATCCGTCACCTCTCTTCCTCTGAGCAAGCGCAGAACTTTACCACTCGATGCGACGGACCGTTTCTTTGCCTGCACAACCTGATCTGGGAATGGCTGCCATGTGTCTCTATAACGGTAGGTAGGAGCATCCTCAAACCAAAGCTCTATCGCCGCAGCTTGCTGCTGATTACAATCGCCTTCTGCTGGTACGGTGGCGGCTGTCACGGGGTCATATTGAATGTAGATCTTGCCTTTCGGGGTCCCCTCCCGATTATTTTCCTCAGCCGGAGAGTAGGGTATAATTATTGCGTCATTTCGTCCAAGGATGCTGGTCAACAGATCTTTGATCTTGTTTACTTCGTATGGATAGTCAATGTCGTCGCTGGCCGGGTTGATAGCGAAATCCCTATACGGCGTAATGATGAACGCACGTACTTTGTTCTCTGCAATGTTTTCGAAGCCTTCGCCGGGCACAGTGAATACTGTAAGACCGTGGGGAAACACCGGACTACCATTTCGGAGAACATCCAATACATCACTTTGGAAAAGCTGTGGCTGTTCCATGGAAGGTTTTTCCCAGATGTGGGTAAGAAACATGCGTTTGCGGGAGATGACCACGACGGATGTGCAACCCCATAGGTTGACCAGGTGCTAATCGTCCGCTGTATCTTCCAGTGGGAACGTCAGCCCCGTCGTTCCTCGGCCCTGTTCAAGAGAGCCGTAAGGGTTAAGGCTATCGTCGATCTGATCAAGGAGCCATGCCCCAACATCACCTGGCAGAGTTAGTCGACGTCAGTGGAAGCTGAGTATTACACATGGGCGATGCATGTCAGTAGCTTCCAATAGCTTTAACAGGATACAGCCAGCTATGAGACAAGTCACATACCGTTGTGTTCAGGCCCATAAGGGCTCGAAAGACTTCGCTTCGAGACATGACTAGTAGGGTGGCCGGTTTCCACTGGTGCAAGCCCTTCCGCGCTCAACTGAGGGTTGCGGAAGTGCGATACAGCAATGGTCGTGGTTGACGAGATAGCAATGCTCTCAAAAGCTGTGGGAAATTCGGTCGGTGCAGGTACGCTAGTCGCCAGTCTTCGCACCTTTCCATTACAGTTGTCGCAGTCGGGGGCACATCTCTGTCTAATAGCCGTTGTTGTAGACGTAACCGTGGATGAAGAAGTGGAACCAGTAACATCGCATTTAGTGATGGGTGCACCGCAGACTGTGGTGCAGACATCACCTTGCGCCCGCTTGTTTGGCCCTCCTTTGGTCGTAGTTGCAGTCGCCGTACATGCAATGTTGCAGTTGCTAACGGTCGTTAAAGTGCATGTAGAGGAGGAAGTCTGCGTAGGTTCTTCAGTCTCAGATACTGAGTCAGATGGCTCGGAGGCTTCGTCCGGAACCACTTCGTTGAGAGCGTCGAGCAACGGCTTGAGGTCGTCTTGTAAGCCCTTGACAGTGTTCACTGCGGCCGTAGTCCTACCGATCACTGCATCTTTCACCTTGTTAGTTGTGTCTATGACACAGTTGACGAGCGAGAATGCTGTCTTGAACAACCCGCCGAGTAAATCGCGCTCACTGAGAACATCGTGCAATTCATGGTCTCGTTCGCTTCTTCGACGTTTTCCAGACCCACATGGCTCAACTCCGTCTGTTGGCTTTGGTAACTTGGCCAAGAAGCCAACTGCGTGGGGTAGGATGTTGTTCAGCTCGTCTGTCACGTCGGTGACATGAGCGACAGGATCTTCTATCCAGTTTTGAAGAATGGGGAAAACGCCCACGATGGCTATGGATAGATCCGACGCACTCGACTGGACTTCGGTTCCAGTGGGTACCAAGGTAGTTACTGGCAAAGGAGGAATGGTGATTCCGGGAGGAAGTACTAGGCTGTCTGATGTTGCGAGTATTGTTGAGGCAGTGTTGGACGCTGAACTGACTACAGTAGGCTGTACGGTTGGAAAGATGCTTGTCTCACCACTGGTTGTAACTCCCGTAACAGAACTTGATATATTCGTCAGATTGCTAGCACTGGATACCGCTGGTGAAAACGTGGCAGTACTCGACGAGACTGAAGATGGAGTGTAAGACGAAGTGATAGACGAGACTAAAGGGGGGCCGGAAGGTTGGGTAGAAGTAGTAAGTCCTCTAGTTGAGGCATTCGATGAAGATGCAATTGTGCTGGTATACACGACGGTATCGTTCATCTGCGTCGCCAAGGAGAGACTAGTGAACGAAAGGCTCGAGGAAGCCGTCGTATGTGGTCCATCGAGTGGAGTGGAAGGTTTGACGATAGTGGTGCTTGTACTGTTGGCTGGTACCGGAAATGGGGCCTGAATCTGGATGATCACGCTGCTGCTTCCGGTACCCGTACTGATCTGTGCCTCGATGAATGCCGAATGGGAGAAAAGTAAAGCGAATGCACAACCGCGGTGTAGGAGTTTCATGACGACGTAGTGATGCAGGAAGAATGAAACGATGGGGGGAGTACTTTGAAATCTCCTAGAATCATGATCTTCGTTCAGCTTTATGTGTCATCTGGATGGTCAGCGTGCTTGCGCTTCCATCCACCTACAGTCCAATTTAGATATTCTTGCACTGCCATGCGGCATGCTTCTTTGCATACGCTCCGTGTAGTAATTTCCTACATGGCCGAAGCGCTTGCAAAGGATTGTCGTTGATGTTCTAAAATCGGGACTCAGGACACGTATTCTGCACCGCGAAGCAGCGGTATTGCGAAGGTGCGATGTTGTCAGATTGGGTAGCGAATCCAAGCAAAAAAAAGAGACGGATGTTTGGTCCCCGAAGAGGTTTTGGCCCGTGGCGTAGCGTTATACTCTGTCTACACCAGACGCTGATGGCCATGGGGGCTGATTTGACGATGCAATTCACCATGTTTGTGACTTGTCTGACGTTGCTGTACCCCGGCGGAATGGCAGGTGTACTTCGAATGCAAAATCACTAGATAAAGTGGTAGAGTTTTAGGGGAAGGAGATATCGATGTCGAACGGAAGGAAGCGATTGGAAGGTGATGAGGGTAAGTGCGACTGCCACTTACATGGCCGCACGGACGACCACGAGTCCGGCGCTAACCCCATGGCGACCCCAGACGGCCACCCATCGTCTCTGGGTAGTATCTGAAACAGTACGCCGCATACGCCGCATACGCCGCATGATGACGGCAATCCTACGGGGGGCCAGTCAGATGTATTCATATCGCGATCGCGACTGAACGAGTAATCGAAACCGTCGCTTGATCTCACCACCCCGCTACGTTCCTCACATGTGCACACTGTGCACCACCACCTGATTTCACCATGCCGCCGCATGCCGCATGTGCTGTTACCAAGAACTCGAAAAAGACCCATACTACCCAGTATTTCTGCAGTCGTGCGAGGATAATGACGCAGCTATTGCCTTAAAACTGGTACCGGATCGCGAGCTTGGGATGTTGACATATAGTCTCAACCGAGCTGTTGAACGCGGACATCTCGCCTTAGCCAGCCAGCTACTTGGAGTAGGTGCCAAATGGGATACGCGCACAGTGCATCTTGCATCCAGATCCCACGAAACGGTGAAGTGGTTGATAGAGTCTGGTTACGACGTCAATACCAGCGTAGCCCGCGGTAATACTCTCCTCCTGTAAGTCTGCACGGTAACTGCAACTGCATTAACTAGCTTATTGGGATTAGATTCGTTGTTCAAGAAAACGACGAACCGAGCATTCGACTGCTCCTCAAACTAGGAGCGAACCCCAACCTCGGGCCACCGAAGAAGATAACAGCGCCACAGATGAATATGCGTCCCATATCCAACTGTGGCCACACACTCAATAGCGCAGCCGCAAACTGTAGCCCAGAGATATTCGCTCTTTTGCTCGCTCATGGTGCTGTGCTATCCAACTCTACACCGCTCCACCGTGCAGCGGGTAGTACAAGCGACAACAGAATTCCAATGCTTGAGTACCTTGTCGGAGAGCTAAGCCTCGACATCCACAGTATGGACAGTGGACCACCTATTCCAGACGAATGTTGCGGACGCGAAGGCACACCACTACACTGTGCTCTCCGCCGGAAGCGATACGAGACGGCTAAATGGCTACTGGAGCATGGTGCCAACCCCGACAAAGGCGACTCGTTCGGGACGCCAGCAAGAGCATTGATGAGGCGCCTCCCTGATGACAACGAGCTTGTGGTTCTGCTTCGAGAGCATCGAAAGAACACTAAGTCCATCGCGCACTTCTGAGGAACAAGTTGGACTGCGGGAGCCAGATGTATGTATCGTTGAGTCGATGAAGTTGTACCAAGTAAACTTACTAGTACCCTGCTACGCACATTTGACACGTTTCCTACCCTCCCCATCTTTTCCATTCTCATCATCACAGTCCTCAAACTTCCTCTTAACCCCCCTCAAAACCAAACACCTCACCTCAGGCGCCACACCCCCATCCCCACCCACCACCACCCCCCTACCCCAAGCCCTCTCAAATCTCCACCCCTCTCTAAACACCACCATCCCCTCCCCCTCATTCCCCCTCCCACTCGGCCACCCCTCCTTCTCCCACCTCTCACTCGGCACCTCACACCCCTCCCTCAACCCCTGTACCACCCTCTCCCACCTCGAAACCGTAGCCGCATACACACTCGTACCCCTAGTCTGCATATCCCCAACAATCTCCCTGTACTTCGCCTTATCAGCTACCAACCGCCTCACCCACCCTTTATCCGCTTCCACCGCCCCGAAGAATGCACAACTGGAAGCATAGGGACGTAGAAGGGGACATGTGGCACCGCAAGATCCGCAGGTGGAAAGGGGGCTGCAGGTGATGCAGTAGGCGCCGAGGGTGCGGTATAGGTGGTGCATGTGCGTGCGGGTTATGAGGGAGTGTTTTATGATAGAGAGGGAGTGGTGGAGAGCAGAGATGCGGAGGAGCATTTGGGGTGTTGCACGGGGTTGGCGCTTAGGCTTAGGTAGAAGGGAGGAAGGGAGCATGTCGAGCCATGATGCGTGGGTTCCTGTTGGTAGGGCGACTAGGGCGGGTGGCATGGCTGTGTCTATGGGTGGTGAGCTATTTCCGCTCTGTCTGAAAGAGGAGATTATCAGTCGATAGTGATGTATTAATACTAAGGCCTAAACGGTAGTATGTGTTACGCCTGAGAGTACTACAGTGTAGTGTGAAAGTTTGGACCAGAGGGACAATACATTGTGTCAAGGCTACAATGGCTCACTTCGAGAACATAACAGTCTTATCTAGCTGTCGCGACAGTAACGAAGAAACGTGGGGGGAAGATGTACAGTGTAGCAAACGATTGCGTTGTGGAATCGCGTTTGAGATCGAGCACGTGTTGGTGAACAGCGTGCTGCTAATCTTGAAGTGATGTGTTCGGTTGTGGGCGAGATGGTGATTGTATCTGCTACATGACTGACCTTCGTACTCATCTCCTTCATTCACCTCCTTCATCCTCCTGCAACATCTACAACAACGCGGTAGGAACCTTCTTCTCTCCCAATATCTGATCAAAAGTCGTCGGAACATGGCGTTGCTGTCGCTCCACTTCTTGGTTTCCCATCTTTTCTTCTCGTTCCTCTTCGGCTGCTCGATGGCTTCGCTGGTCTTGGGCAGGTAGTTGCGGTTGAGACGAGTTGACCGGCTCTGAACCAGCCACGGGGCTAAGCGGGATGTCTTCAAAATCAGGCGAGTTGGAGAGCTTGCTGAGGCTAAACGAGAGCTCACTGGGTGTTTCATCGAAGCTAAAGCGGGGTAAGATGGGTAGCGTGCTTCCAATGATCCGGATAGCTGGCACCATAGAAGAAGTCTTCGCGCGGACGTGGGTGCTCTGCGTCGCACTGTTGTGTCTCTCAGTCGTAGACCTTTTCTCTTTCGTACTGTTGCGCTTCACAGCAGCTTTGCGACTCAACCTCACGGGGTTACTACGAGGGCCGAGTACAGAGTCATGGTCCTTAGCGTTGTCGAGTGGTGCATCCATAACGGTGTCTGTAGTTCTTTCGATGCTAAAACCCTCGTATGTTCCCTCTAGCCGTGCAGGAGCACTTCGGTGCTTTTCAGCTTCCGTATGTGAAGACCATTTCTGTTGGACGCCCGCGCTTGACGGTAGACAGGTGATGCGCTGCTCATACCTATTGTCGTTCACGAACCGATCGTACCGCAGTTCAATATTGCGGTCACTATTCCACCTTAGAAAATCTTCGAAAGGCATCACGCTCTTCTGAAGTGGTATTTCTCTTGATGCCATGTCGATATGATGTGGGTATTAGTCGACGGTAGTAGCGGGAATGAATCGGATTGCTCATTACGGTCGCCCAGCTCTTCAAATCGACACATTGTTTGCGTACGAGAGACATCGTGAAGATATGGTGTTTTCCAGAAGTTTGCGCAACATCGCGAACAGTGTGTGACTTTCGAGATTCGTCGCGCATCTTCGAGAGTCGTACAGAGGAGTTATGCGAGGTCCTCAGTGTCCGTGATGGATATTCCGTCAGGTCCAAGGTGAGAGCAAACGGTATCGCGCCTTTCAAGCCTCTTTCTCCTCTCGCATCCTCTTGACCTCCGCTTCTACCCCCTCCACACTCATCGGCACCTTCCCTCCCTCCCACCTCTCCTTCTCACTCCTCACCCACCCCTCCAAGCTCAACAGCCCCACACAAAGGAAACCCAGTACCTCTCTATCCGTATCAAACACCTCCCACCACTCACACTCGGGCATCTTAATCCCCGTCTCCCTCGCCGCAAGATAAATCCCCGCCGTCGCCAACTCATGCGGCTGGTGCGTCAGGTAAAGGCACTGCGGACTCAAGAGCGCGGTATTGAGATGCGCGATTGCGCGTTTCGCGAGTTCAGAGGCGCGCGGGTGGCTGAAGATGTCGAGGGCTTGCATGTATGTTATGCATAGTGTGTAGGGGAGTTGGACGTGCGTGTTGAAGCCGAGGGTACGTAGGATGCGTTGTTCGGTTGTAAACAGCGTTGCGCGACGGCGCTCGTATGTCCCCTCGCTGACGTAGTATCCCTTTGCATCTTCGCCCGTTTTCTGAAGCTGTTCAAGATCGAAGTATGTCACCGGCAGCGAATCGAGATACGCGTACACGTTTACGAGACTACGCGCTGACTTTGGATATGCGGAGAGCTTCGTGGTAAGGTACAACGACGCGGCTGAGACTTGTTCTGCGCCGAATTCCGCGAGACTGCCGCCTTCAGGGCCGAGCCAGAAGCGCATGAAGACTACGATGGCTTGCGCGATTACTTCTTGTGGGAGGCGGAGCAGGATACCGGCGGCTTGTGTGAGGCGCGCGCCGGCGAAGCGGACGGAGTCTTCGAGCGTGGGTTGGATGCCATCGAGTTGCGAGCCGGAGGTTTCGAGTTGGGCGACGGTTGCCAATGGGTTTGCGAGAGGTGAGGGCTGCATTTAGGAAGAGTTGACGCGGTGTGGGAGTGAGCGCGACGGCGTTGTGGTGGTGTGGGAGCTTTTGCGCGGAAAGACGTTGGGGATGATGCTGTGGAGCTGGTGGACTTGCGATGGGTGAGCCTCGGTACACTAACCGTCATCTTTCTTAGTCAACGACCTCAACTCCACACACGGCAGAGACATGTTACAAAGTTCCATTTCGCGATCTTGGACTATTGGAGCTCCTGGAGAAGCACATCTATCCCCGATATATTCGTCGCAGTCTGGCAAACTTCCATCAAGAAACCGTCTCCTTAGCTCAATTGGGAGAGCGCCAGACTGAAGTCATCAGTCACTAAATCTGGAGGTATCGTGTTCGATCCACGAAGGGGACAATCACCGTGCTTGAGCCTGCTCAAGATCTTTCGAACTATTCTTTTTGCCAATCTTTTGCTCTTCCAACGGGCTTCACCGCTCAGTAGACGATCAGGGTACAGGGTTGAAGGGGGGCTGGGAGAGTAGGTCCGTTACCCCTCTCTGCTCACTGCCTCATTTTTTTGTACATATCAAGCGAGAGGACAAGCGAAGGTGACAGCCATTGCGCTGGTGCCACGTACTCTGCATACGCCTCACGATGACGAGGTGGATCTCAGGATCTCCTTTGACTTACTTGCTCGGGGAGGTGGTTACGCTTAAGATGGGGAGTTGAGGGGCGATGGCGTAGGCACTCCAATCGAGGAAGCAGATGGATACTCGCTATGTTTCCTAACCTGCACGTTTGACCCTAGTGTAGGCTGCAGAACTTCTCAGTCACTTCTTGGTGTGAGGCGTAGATGCCTAGGTAGCCTTATGGATGTCTTGGCTTCGCACACATAGTTAGGCTGATATTCAAACACGATGTCTAAATTATCAAACATGTTAGGCAAGTATTTGATAGAAGTGTTTCAAATCACTGCGCTGCAGTGGGCCTGTTATCAATCAACAATACAGCATTTCGAATTGGATTGGTGTAAACACTGTCAAATGATCTGTAGCAATAGGATGACGTGGATAGCAATATCATTACTGTACTCTACGACAAACAATTTTTTGACCTTTCCCCAACTCCCGCTAAACTACATCACATTACATCACCAATAGCAAAACAATCTCAAACACTTTTGAAGTTGAACAAAAAGAGTACAATAGCATTAACACAATAAAAATAACTGATTAAACGAGGGCGTAAAGGGTGGGTATCTTGCCGGCTAAATGCTATCCAAAAACCGCTAATCAACACGACTAATACACACAAAAGAAAAAGAACCCTTCGCGGCTTTTCGCTCGCGAAAGATAAAAAGGAGGGAGAAGGGTAACTCTAAACATTCCCAAAGCTCAAAATGACCAACCCAATAACCGAGAGAAAAAAACAACAATCCGATGTATAAATCCCAAAAACGCAAAGCCCAGAAAATAGATGCTGAGTGAAGAAGAGGAAGCGTGACGACTAGAAGGAGATGTAAAACCCAGATCGAAAGCAAAAAAAAACAACGCCGGTCGTTATGTGTGCAATAGAATGCGATATGATCTAGTCGATACCAATCATGGTACCATCGCACCTCCAGTCATCCACTTCGACATCCCGGGCAGCTGTGTTGGTAGCTTCGGGGTCGATTTGGACATGAGTGAGCCATGTGCCGACACGGTTCTGGCCAACCTTGCGGCCATCGCGAGAGAGACCGGCCATGGTGGAGGAGGTGACGACAGGTGTGGATGCGGGTCGGACGCGAGGGGCGGCAACGGGTGCAGGGGCGGGCGCAGCGCGGCGTGTACTGCTGCTGCTGGTGAAGAACGCGCCACGTGGGGTTGACGTGCGTGGAGTGGATGTGCGGGCTGCGGTGCGCGCGACGGATGCGGGCATGGAGCGGATGGCGTACGAGTCGTTCATGTGGTGGCCACCTGCGTTGCCGACGCCGTACATTTGCACCTCGGGTTCAGTGCGGCGGATGGAGGAGACGGTGGGCGTGGGGTTGAGGTGCAGTGAGTCGCGGAGGTGAGCGGACAGGCGGCGGGATTCGGGTCGGGGGAGGTCGCGTTCGCTGCGGTTGCGTGGGGTGCGGACGCTGGGGCGGCGGGCGAGGGGTGGCGAGGGCTCGTCGGGGATTTCGATGACTTCAACATCGGCGTAGCGGGCTTGTTGCGGGTAGGGGACGCGCATGTCGTTGAGCTGGTCGCCGTCGGGGATGTGTTGGTAGTTGAACCAGGGGCAGCTGCAGGTCTTCCATGGGGCGGCGCAGACCATGCAGAATTGTGCTGTGCAGCGGCTGGGATGTTGTTAGCTAGTGTTGTATGTGAGTGAAGTAATGAACGTACCAGGTCATGTGATTGCAACCTTCCTTCAGCTCGACTACAGCCTTGCAGCTGTAGCATCGTTGCCAGCCCTTCTCCTTGGCCATCTCTACCAGGCGGTTGGTCTCCTCGTCCTTGGGGCATTCGCGCTTCGTGTGGAACTTGCTGTTGCAGAGTACGCAGACCTTGGTGTTGCACGTGCTGCAGCGTGCGTACTTGCGTCCGTATGTCGGGTCCATCTTGATCTTGGAAGGTTTGATCCACTGGCCACACCCTTTCGTGGGGCAGTATAGGCGGTTGGCAGTCGTGTACTCTTGGAACTTCCGGTTCCATTGGACCTTGAACTTGTCATCGAAGAGGCGGTCGGCATACTTCAATGGGATGTGCTCTGAGGTGCAGCATCGTGGTGGCATGTGAGCAGGGTCCTTTACGGAAAGGGTAAATTGGCGCTTGAGGCACGAGTAGCACATGCGATGGCCACATGCGAGCTTGACGGTCTTGGTGATGGGTAGATCATCGTTCATGCACACGAGACAGTCGACCCTAATTGAGGTTAGCTTTGTAGGGGTAACGTGACGGGGATACTAACGTTTTCTCTTCAGCCTTGCGCGAAGGCGTTCGCGAAACTGGAGGCGCCGCCTTGGAGAAGAAGCTTGACAAGATGCCCCCGGTGCTCCGACGGGCAGCATCCTTGACCGACTGCGTCCTGGTGAGTGGCGTTGGGGGAGGCGACTTGACCGTGTTGCTGCGTCGTACTGTCGGCCTGGGCTCTCGTTCTCTGGCAGAAGTATGTGCTTTTGGCTCGCGTGTAGATGAATTCCTGGCCCTCATTAGCTGAGCTACGTGTACAAGTGGAGACGGGACTAACCTGGTCAATGGCGGAACTTCGACCCTGCGGACTGACGCAGATCCAGAACCTGAATGCGGAGTGTAGGCAGTCCTGCTAGAAGAGCCGCCTTCCTCGCTTCGCTTGCGCCCAGATGCTCGTCGCACAGGGACTTCCTCAACGTGACCCATGGACTTGGGGCGGCCAAAGACGAAGTCGTCGTGGTCATCAGGTATCACTGCTCTCTTCGGCTTCCGCGTGCTGTCCCGTCGCACCTCCTTCTCACGGCTGCTCCGTGGCTTTTCCTTGGCCGGTGTGCGTTTGCTGTCTGATACCACGCGATCGCGGTCGCGCCTCTTCTCAGCCTCGTTGCGAGAATAGTAGGACTCTCTGCGCGCTCTAATGTCCTCAATGTCGACCTCGGCCTGCCTTCTTGCCTCCTCTGCCCGTCGGCGCTCTCTCCTTTCGCGTGTGGAAGCTGTGGGTTCGTCGTCGTGGTCGCGAGATTTGTGGCGGCGCCGGTGCCTCCGCTCTCGTTCGTCGAGATATTCGCCGTCGTCACGGTGTCGTGTGGCCCGGTCATCGCGTCCTCTCGCCATGCCCAGCCAGGGCATGCGGGCGGTATTTTATCTGCCTTCTGCCAGCCGCGCAGGTCACAGGCTCATTCACGCTCTCGCAAAACTTCAGGACGCTGTGCAGGCGACGCACAAAAGCGAACGGGTGTGTGGAGAGTTGCGGTGGGCGTGACGAGCGAACAGCAAGCACCTGCAGGCAGCCCAAGCCGGATCAGACCAAAGTCGGCCAGTCGCACGGGGCAAGCCGCCAGCGGTGTGCGCGCACTGGGTGCCTGTTGATCGAAAGCGTCGGCAGGGCTCTCGCTAAGGCTTTTAGTCGGCCCAGGGGCCGTCGTCAGGCGTCGATGCCAGCTGTCTCACACGCGCAGATGATGTCGTTTTTCCGCAGCAAACCTGCCATCGGAACCAGCGGGTGCACTGCTATCATGCAGCGTTGCGCTGCCGCAAAAGTATGTTCGTAGTGGACCAACTTCTGGCGTCGCACTGCTTTTTGGGGCAACGTTCGGGCTGCGGTTGAGTCTTAGTGAGATGATCCCGCCACAGGGGTTCGAAGATTTATTGCAGAATCTAATCGCGGACATGCAACGGCGCCCAGCGTCCTCAGTCCTTCTCGAGTATAATTTGGGTCGAAATTTCCCATCTGTGCCCGCCGCTCCCGTATCCGCCGCCCAAGCGGTTCCGCACCATACTGCCAATGCGATCGCGCAGGCGCCCAATTTCTTCCAAATTCCGCACTCGTAGTTTGAGGTTCGCCTGGCAGAGGCCGTAGTGTACCTGCCAGAACTTTGCCTCTTCGACCGCCCTGATGGCTGGGTCCGTCTCGAGGTCGTACATAATGTCCGAAACGCCGGGCCCCGAGTAGGACATGAGCAGCATCTTCCCCAGCGTCCATCCCTGAATCCACCCCAGCGCTACCATGGAGAACGCTACTGAAAATGAAAGGGTCCGATCAAGCCACACATACATCTGGATGCTCAGCAGTGGCAGCAGAAGGAGCAGTGTCGAGCACGATAATGTCAGAAAATGCGAAGGGTTGCTCAGCACGGAGGGTAGGTTAGCGATGGCGCTCAGCCTCATGACCTTGCCGATGCGCGCATGGTTCTTCAGCAGGATTGCCGAGACGAGTGTCGAGACAATGCCACACAAGGCAGCAAGATCAATGCTGCCAGGCGATACTCGTTCATGCGTGTCTGCATGATGCGCCTCGTGTCCTCCACTGTTCTCGAGCGCGTGCGTCAAGCCATGCGATATGAGGTCCAGTCCCATGAACAGTAGTCCGACAGACATGCCTAGTCCTGCAATAACCTCCAGACGCTCAAAGCCAAACGGGTGTCGTATGCTTGATCGCTTCCATACCTCGAAGTTGGATCCAACGTCAACGGCCACACAGAGAAATGCGCCGAGCGCATCGTAGAAGATCAGTCGCGACAACACTGTGAGAGCCAGGGATTCGTGCGCGCCCCACTGTACGAGACCAGCGACTACCAGATGGCAGAAACACCATGCCAGCCTCAGCTTCTGATCCTTGGACATGGACGAGCGATACTCTTTGAAGGTCGGGATCGGGAGCGAGGCGGGAAGCTGGAGCGGGGCGCGCGGTGCGGGTTCTAGGAAGATCTGATGCGATACACTACTGTGCTTGTACTTGTGTCCTCGTCGTCGGCCGATATCCTGCGAAAGTTAGTACAAGCGCGTCGGGTTATATAGAAGAACGCACATTGGCCTTTGTTTGAGGTCGACCAGGCTGGTAGGCGATAGACTGGAAGTTGAAGGGATTGGGGTTCTCGGACCCGCTCATAGAGGGCGCGTCGAGATCCATGGTTCCGCTGGCAGCACTCGCTGGTGTCTGTGGAAAGGTCGCGCTCGCGGGTGTATACAGAGTCGCCGGGGACGCCCTCTGCGAAACTGAGTCACTGGGTCCGAGAGTCGCATACTGCTTCGAGGGAAACGTAGCCGACATGGGCGACAGCAGCGCATTGTTGTTAGGCCCCATATCGCCCATAGCCAGATCGCTTCGGAATCCTAGTCCTACGGGCTGGGGCGCGTTCTCGTCAGGAGGCGGCGTTGGGGTCCGTGGTGGAGCTGGCAGCGGCATTTTCGAGGCCATGACGGTGGTAAATGAGTGACGGTAATGAGTGACGGTTAGCGAAAGCGCAATCCAGGCTTAACGAGATAACCAGCGCAGTTGAACCCCGGACGGGAGGTGGAGGGGAAATTGAGGGAGGCCTTCTGTATGCGGCGGCCCATACTCGGTGAATCGACCAATCCGGCCCCGACTAGCCCGCATGCAAGGGAACGCTGCGCTTGGTACCCTAGAGCGCAACATGACGCTGACGTTGACGGTCTGGCTCCGAAACATGACACTTGATTCACCACCTCGGTCCTCCATGGCTGTTGACGCACGTGGGAACCATGCCAGACGGAAACGGTGCGCGCAATGAGGGGCGTGCTGAGGGAGCGGATGTGAAGCACGAGGCGGACGGCGCGTCTAGCCATAGACGCAGCAAGTCGGGAGGCATACTGGGCGCCTTCCTCAGGTCATCCATGGATGCCATGGGGAAGGCGCCATCGACACAACTAGGCAACGACGAGGAGCACGATCAGGATGCGGAAGGTGCGAAGAGGGCGTCCTCCATCGCGACTGCCCTGCGCCAGAGCCAAGGGAGGCAGCGAAAGGGATCCCTTAGGAAAGCCGCCATGGCCAAGATGCGTGAACGGAGCAGCTCTCTGCGCAAGGCCAAAACACCCACAATCACCACCACCACGAGCTTAGACCCCTCGGACGAAGGCTCGGCTCCAGGCCGCTTCAGCTACGAGAACGCTCCCCTCAACTCTTCGTCCGACAGTGGATGGCTACCCGCTGCCCGTCTGTCCCCGTCGTCACCCGCGCTTATTTACACCCCACCCGATGGCCCTGAACGGCCTGCTCCTTCACTACTTGCATCACCCATGACGAGCCCGGTCGCGCCTTACGCTTCGACTACCGACGAAGACGACACCATGTCCTTCTACCGCCCCTCTCCCGCCGGCAATGACTTCTCCTTCAGTGGTGCCAACCAGGGCTCTGCGACATCTCTTGCACACCGCCGTTCAACTCGGAGCAACCGACGCACTTCCATCTCGGCAGTCCTGACACCTGCCGAGGCTGACCCCGATGACGAGTGGGATTACAGCGAGACGGAGTGGTGGGGCTGGGTCGTGCTCATAGCAACGTGGATTGTTTTCGTCGTCGGCATGGGCTCTTGCCTCGGAATCTGGAGCTGGGCTTGGGACGTGGGCGAGACACCGTATGCTCCACCCGATTTGGAAGACGACGCAACCCTGCCCATCACGGGCTACTATCCCGCATTGATCGTTTGCACGGCAGTCACGAGCTGGGTGTGGGTTGTCGTGGCCTGGGTTGGCATGAAGTATTTCCGCCACGCCAAAGTAGGCGTCGACGGCTAGTAGCCTCCAGAAGCAACGCACCAAAATAATCACCCACCACCGATCGCATGAACGTACCAAGGTCCTGGGAACGCCTTCTCTATTCTAGTGCTTTCGCTTAAGCGTTCCGCCATGCGCAATATCTTCTTGGGCTGAAACACTAAGCTATAATACCTCTGTTAAGACACATCATAGCCTCGCTATACCGCACTCTACGGTAATACAATTACTTCTTCTGCTATTGTTTCTTCGATACTCGCCCTAATAACTGCAGCTACCATCTCAAATATTGGAACGGCTGACAGAACAGCTGACAGTTTTGGCAGAATAAAAGCTGACGATGCCGCATCTTTCCCGCATTGCTTGTCGTGATTCAGCGGCTTGGACCACAATCTCCGCGCCCGGCTCCTCCTCTCCACCACAATCCTGCGACCCCGTCACTCGGTAACCAGGGCCGTACTGAACATGGTGCGAACACCTCGACGACACGGTATCACCCTGCAACCTCCGATCCTGCAGGACCTGCAGCGCGGGAGCCAGGGTCGCACATGTTGGTGCAATTTTGACAGTAGTGTAAGATGAAGGCAATTTCCCTGTCCAGGCGACTTCATAAACAAAATGGTCGCCAACATGTGGCTGATAGGAGCAGATTGTATTATGCAATTGGTCTGTGATGGCCGCACCACAACGTCGTCGGGGAGGTTCCATGCTGGAGGAGCTACTACCAAGTTTACTCATCCTCAAGGGCCTGGAGTCTGGGGATATCTCGAAGAAAGACGCCGAGCTCAGTCGCGCGCTTCACGGGGTACAGCATGAACGGCGGCCGAGAACGATACCGCCCCGGAGGCCTCGTCGCGTTTCCAACGCAGTGGTGACGCAACGCATCACCAACGGCAGGCCCTTTCGCTTCTTCGAACTACCGCAGGAGATTCGGGATGAAGTCTACTCACACCTCGTCGTGCGCAGGACATCGCGCTCTCTACCCATCCTCGACGCAACGACCATACTCAATGACCGGAAGAAACGCCTGGCCGCACTCAAGTCACGAGAACGACTGAACCAACGACGGCTCTCAACAGGAAAACGCCCAGTATGTCCCAGAACAGCCGAAACAGAGCCACTCCTCCACCTGGAACTCCTCCGCGCGTCTCAAAGATTGGCCGGCGAGGCAACAGACTGCATGTACACCAACAACTGGTTTGCCATTTCTCTCAACAAACTCCCAGTCCCGACCTACGACATCCCACACGGCTGGGACCTCTCACGCGTCAAACGACTACAAGTTGAACTCCAGCTCAAAGATGCTATAAGAATGAACCGCTACGTCGACTGGGCATCTTTCTTCTCCGCATTGCCATCTTTACAGTTCCTGCGCATCGTTCCAACCCTTCACCCACGGTACTACGAATGGTCGCATCCAGAATTTCATGAGTGGTCCACAACACCATTCGTCCACAAGGCCTTCTTCAGGGAACTACTAGCCGCCATACCAGCCTATGTAGATCTGAAGATCGGGCTTGCAATGGATGACACGGGCGATGACGTTCAGATGCAGGGCGAAGTCTTTCTGCATCGAAAGTATCTGTGGGACATGTATGCGGAGTTGGGGAGTAGGACTGATGGCGCGGGGAGGCGGATCGAAGTGGAGAGGATTGTATCATAGCATTATGACGGAGCGATTGTGCATTTACGAAAAGCGATTGTATATTATGGGTCTTTATCTATCGTTGTTTGGGAGCCTTGGTTTTGCTTTTTTGGTACCGTTCAAGCGCATGCATTGGTCAAATTTGTCTTTTGGGTACGTCATTGCATAGTTGTTAAAGTTTGTGCTTTTGGTGCGAACGAGAAGCTGGACACATACGTCGTGATCTTCCAATTTTATTGTAGATCAAAGGCATACGAGCGCTTCCTCATATCGAAGTCGGTCGGAGCTTTTGGAACCGAACTCCAACCATGAAGGAGGCGAGGTCAATTTTGAGGAAGAGAAGAAGAGTACATTGAAAAGATGCACCGTAGCAGAGTGCGTGACGAAGATTTTATATGTGCACGACGACCGATGCGCTAGCGTTCTACATGGAAAGTCACTCCTATGATTTGGAGATGGGTCGTGGAGAAAACTCGACTCTTCCACTCCATGCATACATCATTCGATCCTTTTTGGTGTCTCTCATTACGGAATAGCTCATCGCTTTTGAAGTATTCGTACCGAGATGTGGGTTTCGAAACGAGGCGCGGAACAGACATGCCGCAATCGTGTGTATGTTTCGGAGAGCTGGAGCCGCAGTCATGCGAATTTCCAACCGAATTTTTGGTAAAGAGAAGGAAGGGTTGTGGTATTAAGAAGACAGAGTGCTGAAAGGCGAGAGGTATTTATACACCTCGACCCAGGACATTGAGCTCTCTATCCCATCACTTGGATGACGCTGCACGACAGACACATGATTTATGAGAGGTCATCTTTTGAACTTTTCCCTAGAATCCTGCCCATCATGACTTCGTTTGTCCATTTTCGGTGTGGTTAGCCTTGATGTACGCAAATTGAAAATTCTCCTGCTCCCCGCGATCATATCCATGGCCATCGTGATTTTTGTTTTGGTAGGAGTCAGGGCAGGCTAGCAATGCGCTTGTTGACATGTAGCTTTTGGACAGCGGACTCAACACATGTTGACGCGCATGACCCTTTTTTGGAGAATACGAAGGAAGTATGGCAAAGAAGAAGCGGAGGTGAGCTATGTTTTGGAGGCTTTATAGCGCTTGAGTCCGTCGTGCGCATGGTGGCTTGGACCCCGGAAGTTAACAATGGCTTGCAGATCCTGCGAAGTATCAGCCAAAAAACGACTTTCTATAATACACATTCATCTCTTTCCCTCCTCCTAACCTCAAACTTCATCATCGGATCTACAACCTGGTAAACCCCCATCTCCAATGGCTTCGAGACATAACCCTCCTTCACTCTGATATCATACTTATCCAGCGCATGCGCCATTGCCATCTTCAATTCGTTCCCTGCAAAAAACCTCCCCGGGCAGATATGTCTTCCACCTCCAAAAACACTGTAATCGGGTCCTGATTGCACAAATTGGCTAAACTTGTCGCCGGCTTCGCGCTTTCGGAGGAAGCGGTCTGCAACGAAAGAGTCGGGGTTGGAGTAGTGCGCGGGAGAGAAGAGCGAGGTGGAGTCGACCATTATGTGTGTGCCTCGCGGGAGTGTATGTCCGGTTGGGAGTTTGACGTCTTTCAAAGCGACGCGCTCCAGGGCGACTATTCGACATATTAGCTCTTCTTTGCTATGCATATCATTCAGAGAGTGTACGAATGTATGTATAAAAGGAGGGTAATACATACCTGCGGCCGCACTCCTTCTCTGACTCTCTTTCAAGACACTGTCCATCAACACCATTCCATTTGTCGCAGCGACCGAGATACCGTGCTTAGCAATCTGCTGCTGTGACTCTTCGCGCAACGGCGCGATAACGTCCGGATGCGATGCCACATCGATCAGAACCTGTCTGAACAGCTCACTCGTAGTGAACATGGCCGCCATAGCAAGTGACAGCTGCAAGTCGCCCGCCTCCGCTTCTTTACCTCCTGGAGCAGCCTGCGTCCACGCAAGTGCATCGTTCCAAACGGGTATATCTTTGCCTTTTGCTTTCGCTTCTTCGACTCGGCGTTTCCGATCCGCTAGGACGTCTTTCATGATTTGCCTCGCGCGGGCGATGTGTCTCCGGCATGCCGATGCATTGGATGAGAAGAATCGCTGGATAATGCGTCGCAACCATGCTGGATACACATGCAACTCGCCTACCGCAGAGAAATATGCCATGACGTATTCTTGCACGAGCTTCAACCACTCCTCGTCCTCACACTTCTCCGGTCCAACAAACACTGACGAAGCAGCGCACGCGATTATGACCGTTGTGTCGGCATGCCAGTTCAGCATCCGCCACTCCCTATCTTCACCCCAGTGCACACGCAATGCACTATCCAAATTTTCGCTCAGAACAGGCATAATACTATCGTTCTGTCCTAGTTTCGTTTTGATGATGTCTAGCAACATATCTCCAGACGCGTGCAACACATCCTGAGCTTCGAAACCGGGATATCCTGCGTAGAAGTCTTGACGCACTAACTCCCTGTGATCCAAATCTCGGTTCGATTTGACGAAATTGGATAGCGAAGCTGGGAGGATAGTTTTGTAGGCATTAGGGAGGGCGAGCGCGAAGGGAGTGGTGGGATGGGCGGCGAGGCCGGTGGTTATCAGGGCGGAGGCATTGGTGGCGTAATCTTGGTTGGCTTTTCGGCCGAGGAAGTCGTTTGCGTGTGTGTTTAGCACAGGGAAGGGTGGGCGGCGCCGGCGATTCTGTATGTAGATGTAGACGCCGCTGAGGAGCGCCAATAGGGTCCAGATGCGGATGTCGTGGAGGATGTCTACTATCATCTTTTGGAAGCCGCGAGTGTTGACAAAGTCGAACTTGGAATCGACTATATACTTGTTGGATCCTTTCGATCTCGGACGTTCAGTTTTATACCTGGATATAACCAGATCTTCGCCGATTAGCGCGAAATGACTCATTGTGTATCATCCTGAGTGTGTAAATAGTCACGCACATACAGGGGCGACTGAGGTCTGGTATCTATCAATACCAGTCAATGAAGTAGTTCAGAGTGACCCGCCGCTCCCGCAAAGTATCAGCCAAGAATGATTCTCACGGGCTCCGTGCAATTTGCCTCCCAGACGACTTTTGGTACACGTCCAGCTGCCTTCCGATACACGATCTCGCCCTTGCGTTCAACCCAAAGAACATTGTAGAAGTGGTATTCCCAGCCAGATGTGCTTTGCACCCCGTATTTCTTCACTTCGCTCATCAGTTCTAGGGATCGTTCAGCGCTGCATTCCTTGAGTTGTGCGTGTCGAGGCTGCATCAATATTTTCAGACTGTATCCCACTTACCCAAATATTCAGAAGAGCATTTCATGTCGATCTTTGATATCATCTCCTGTTTGAACAAAGGCCCGCTATCACCTCCAATGTTCCGGAGGTGTTCCGACCGTATAGTCCCGGTGGACAAAGCGATCAGCTCAAGCGCGTCGCCGGGCTCAGCCCTATCACGGTTCATATGGCGCAGTACGCCTGCTTGGTTCCCTCTTTTGTCTTCAAGGCATATGAGATGACACATGTCAGAGTCTGCTGGCTCACCAGCAAATTGACGAAGTTCGAATACCGATGGACCCATCCAGCAAGGACCAATACCAGCAGGGCTCCTTTTTTTGAGGACAGCTTTGAGACGGAGTGAAGCCGTACTTGTTTTGCATGAGAGGAATGGCCAGTCTCTTCGAAGTTGCAACGCAGAACGTGAAGCTTGGTAAGAAGATACGGACAAATGGTGCGAGCTCGGGGCCGTGTTTGTATCTACGGATCCGGCACTTTTGCCTTCTCTCCATGATTCGTATTTGCTTTGATGAAACGATCGTTGTGTGCCAGTGAACATAGCACTTTTATCGAGAGCAGCTTCTGGGCGCATGATGAGAGAATCAAATTCGTCAACGCGCCACGTGTGCTGCATATCTTCGGACAAAGCATACCACTGCACAAGTCTGTGTGTTTGCCAAGTTGATGGAGTAGGTTTGGTCGTATGCTCCCCGGAAGAGTCTTCCTTCAAGTAGTCAAACCTCGAACGGAGGTTGTGAGGATCTACTGGGCATTGCCAACCGCACCATGACCATGATGGTAGACCTCTTCTTGGTGCGATACTACCTCCATCCCTGGCCACTCTACGACTCGCTATACTGTAGGGCTGCCATAATAGTCCGAGATCTAGGAATGTACAGGGAAGGCCATTGATGAAACCAGAAGTGAAGGTACGCTTCAGTGTACTTAACACTCCAGATATCGCCGGTAGCGCGTCTTGCGGGTAAGTCAGGTCGCGACTGTTATACAAGCTAATCATCTCGATGTACATGTTGAGATCTGGCTGAGACATGGTAGACATTCGCCGAGCGGTCTCATAGTACGGTCTGGTCAATGTAGTATCCGGAGCAGATTCTGGGGTGAGGTAGTCCCTATTCCAGACGCATCTCTGGCAATCCCAGAATACCTCTCCGTCAAGGAAGATAATTACTCTCTTGGAGAGCATTTGTTCTTGGAAGGTCCATCCACGAGAGGCCCACTTGGTCTTGAAAAGCTTCTCATAAAGTTGGGTAGTAGATTCGAGGCTACGACATCTTGTGGATTTGCGGGTATTTAGGCGTCCCGCAGTGGAAGCAGCAATTATAGTTAGGTATGCGCCAGCGTATACCTCACCCATATTGTCGACCTGATCGCGTGTTTTGTCACTGTCCTGCACAATACATAGGCAATCAACCCAAAGGTATCTTTCCCCGTACTTCTGCACAAGAATAATCGCGTCTTTCACTGCATAGGGAAGACGTGCGAGTGCATCCCCTTGTAGATAGCCCCGCTCTTGAAATTGGGTCAGACTTTTCTGTGTTAGCATTAGTCTCTCCGCTGTGGATACATCGGTACTCGTATCTGGGGCGACCCACACATAGCTCAGAGCTATGTATCTTGATGCGGTACGACCGGGTACTAGACAGCCTTCCGCTGTGTCAATGACCCAATCCGGGATCTGGTGAGGCAGTCGGTGCTCGATCGGTGATGATGCGCAGTCCTTGCCATGGTCTTGGTTGCATGAGTTTTGCCAGTACGCGAGATATCGAGCATCGACCTCGAGACCGCTGTGATCCGTAGAGCGCTCCAGAAGCCTTCCATCACCGAGTAGTATGTCCACAATATGGAGATTCTCGCGCTCGACTGCCCACATGAGCGGCGTGATACCGCAATCATCTTTCGAATTCACGTTCACATCATTGGTGCCTAGTAACGCCTTCACGCTTGATTCGCTTCCGACTCGTACTGCATGGGACAGTGGAGATCGACCGGTCGACTTTTCCTTTGCCTCTACATCCACTTGCCCCGTTTCAAGTAGCAGTGAAACAAGTTCTTTGCATCCACCTCCAATAGCCCACCAAAGGGCTGTGTAGCCTTGCTCATCCTGAGAGGCAGGGTTTACCTTCCCAGTTTGCAGCAAACCCAGCGGTATCGTGAGATCTCGAGTCTTCGTTCGTGCAGCCCATAACAGCGGGGTACGGCCACTTGTATCTCTCGACTCTGGATCAACTTTTCCGTTGTCAAGCAACGTTCTCACGATCGTGTTGTACCCCTTGCCTGCAGCGTACGACAGAGGCGTTCGACCGTTGTCATCTCGAGAGTCGGGATCTACCCTGTTGCTTGAGAGAAGCTTTTCAACGATCGTGTTGGCTCCCATTTCCGCAGCGTACGACAGAGGCGTTCGACCTTTATTATCTTGAGAATCTGGATCTACTCTGTCGGTCTCGAGAAGCATCTTTACAATTGCTTCGGCCCGATAGTCCACTCCATGCACAGCATACGACAAAGGCGTGCGTCCTTTCGCATCACGCGAATCTGGATCCACCTTGCGGCTATCCAGGAAAGTCTTTACGACCGTTGCGGATGCATTGCTTGTGGCGAATGATAGCAAGGTTCGGCCTGGTTCCTTTTCATCTCGTTCGTCCGGTCTCAGATGGTCGCTTTCAAGCAGTTCCCGCAACACAGTGTTGTCGTCACACCGACCATGTGCTATACTCTTCAATTGTTGCTGGGCATCTCTTTTGCTGTTCACAATCCCCATCTTCACTATTGATCGCTCTTCTCTTGCATGTCTTTCGCACGGCAGTCGCGCGACCGTCCAGTGATCTCAATCCAGTCTTCTCCGTGTCGTGCGGCTTATCGTGGATTTGGTGGTGGTAATCTTCAACTCCGGTCACGGGCGTCGGCGGTGAATAGGGAACAAGGCTGGTGATAGCACCAGACAAGCTTGGCAGAATCGGAGCGGGCCCGCTTAACTCTTGTGTTCCTGTTGCAAGCTGTCAGCGGAAAGTGCTTACATGCGTTGACACAGCCGGCATATTGTTATTGGCTTACTCATAAAAGTGCCAAGCTATGCGCATCGCACGCGCCTCGGGCCTTGCGCCTGCCGTCAGTATGGGTTACCTAGTCTTTGACTTCGCGCGACCGTTCGCGCCTGGCACCAGCATCCTACGACTTCCACTGAGTGCCACCTGCCCTTGCTCCAGCTGGAAAAGACCGTGCCTGGAAGCGAAGAATCATTTGACTTGCAGACGCTGTTAGGTAGAGTAGAAGAATTGTCGCGATCCTGAGCTCGGGGGCTGAGTATCAGCCCCGGCGCTAGATGGTAGCGGCAGCCCTGGAGCTAACCTCGGGATACTTCCCGACGCGTCCGATAGGTGAACGCCGATCAGGTGGACCTGAACGTCGAGGGAAGCAGGAGTACTGCTGAACAACCAGACAAGATATATCATGGCAATTCTGTGATAGAACGCTGATAGAACCCACTGACCACGCAGTGAAGTAAGCTGACGCTAAGCTCCCAGTAGTAATGTCTCAACGGTCAGATCTGTGTCCTGCCCACGCGTCTGAACAACTACAACACACCTTCGGACTTGTCAACATGCGCATACACGTGTTTGATGTTGCTGCGAGCAAGCACGCGAGCTTCTTTGCACCGCGTAGGCGCCTGTCGACATTGCCCAACATCCCGTCGTATCTGCATCCCTCAGCTGTACGCATATCGTCGCGCCGGCCCTCGATACATGCAATCGCGTTGCGAACTGAGCGACCGGCAACTACCACAACCAGCATTCCTTCTCGCCAATACCACCCCAATTTTCCTCCAAGCGTCACCTCTAGTCCATCGCCACCAACATCTTCGTTCGCCGACCTAAGAGTAACATTTCAAGTATTTCACTGACAGCATTGCATGTACACCACGGCTTTCGCGCTCTTCGAGGCTTTGTGGGAGGTGAGTCCACATTGCTGCCACATGCGCATACGCGACTTTGAAAACATCATAACCACTAACAGTTGTTCTAGGTTGGCATCACCGTCTGTTTCGTCAATGTGGGCTCAGATCATCCGTCCATCATCGAAGCCATCGTCAAGGGCAAGAGAGAGCGGCCAGACAAATGGCCCCGCTTCATAACCTGTCCATCGGAGATAACAGCTATATCGATGGCAGATGGCTACGCGAGGATATCTGGCCGGGCGCAAGCTGTCGTAGTTCATGTCGATGTGGGCACGCAAGCGCTTGGACAGGGCCTACACAATGCAAGCGTCGGTCGGGCGCCTGTGTTCATCTTCGCCGGAATGTGTCCCTATACTGAGGCTGGGGAGATGATAGGGTCACGGACCGAGTATATGCACTGGCTGCAGGAAGCGCCTGACCAGAAAGCCATCGTTCGCCAATATTGCAGATATACTGGCGAGATCCGGACAGGCCTCAACGTCAAGCAGACCGTTGCACGTGCGCTGCAGTTTGCAAACAGTGGACCCAAAGGACCAGTCTATGTTGCAAGCGCACGAGAAACACTTGCGGAGGTAGTCGAGGAGCCTTACCGGTTGGACCAGGAACAGTGGAAAGCCGTCGGTCCCAGTGCTCTGCCAGCTGATGCGGTTGAAGAGGCAAGTCCTACATCTATGCGCTTACAAGACATCTCACTTACGTGATATGTTTACTCTTTAGGTAGCACAGGCCTTGGTGGGGAGCAAGCGCCCACTGATAATCACAGGATACTCAGGAAGAGACAGGCGTTGTCCCGAACAACTGGTCGCTCTCGCAGATCTCATCCCTGGCTTGCGAGTGCATGACACTGGAGGCAGCGACCTTTGCTTTCCTTTCTCGCACCCGGCTTCGCAAGGCTTCCGTCTTAGCACCGATGAATGCACACGCGATGCTGACATGATCTTACTCCTCGACTGCGACGTCCCTTGGACTCCATCAGTAAATCCGCCACCGAGAGGCACGCGCATATACCAGATCGACATCGATCCTCTGAACGAACGCATTCCAGTTTCGTTCTTCCCAGCGCATGGACGGTGGAGAGCTGAATGTTATACTGCATTGAAGCAAATTATGTCTCACATCACGACATCTCCCTTAAGTCGGACGCTTCAAGAGTCTTCATTCTTGGAACGCAAAAAGGTTCTTGAAGATGACCATGAACAGAAACTCGTTGAAATCGCGGCACGATGTCACTTGGGCGAAGAGCAATCTCTTGACGCGAGCAACATCGGCCATCTTCTTAAGCAAACTCTTCCGGACACAACGGTATTCGTGGTCGAGGCTGTGACATGCGGGCAGCTTCTCTCGGATCAGATTCAGGCCGATAGACCTGGCAGTTGGATCAATTGTGGTGGAACTGGTATCGGCTGGAGTAATGGCGCAGCACTAGGTGTCAAGATGGCCACAGAAGACGCGGCCGTTACTGCGGATATTGTGAATAAGCCGACGCTCATTTGCCAGATTGTTGGAGACGTAAGCTTCATGTGCGCGGCACCTTCGAGCGCGTTGTGGGTCGCCTCCAAGTACAAAATAGCCATCCTCACGATTGTACTCAACAATGGTGGTAAGTCTGCTATCACACACTTGCTATACGTGCGCTGACATTCTTGACAGGCTTCAAGGCTCCCAAGAACTCAACCGCCTTGGTGTATCCTGATGGTTTAAACGCGGGAGCGACTGATGATGAGATGAACATCTCCTTCAGGCCATCTCCAAACTATGCAGCACTCGCAGAAGCAGCTGCTGGAAGCCAGAGTTCGAAAGCCTCGACGCAGGATCCAAATCAGTGGATGGAAGGCGTCCGGGTAGATTCAGTAGCATCTTTGAGGAAAGAGCTTGGTAAAGTCTCACAGCGAGTGCTAGAGGCGAAAAAGGGCATGTTGATTGAGGCTTTGATAGCCTAGTAAGTCGGACTGGATGTGATAGGTGGGATGGGCTATGACTTGTCGAAGTCCAACTTCTAGCCTTGTTTTTACTTCTGCGTGTCGGGTGGCCGATTAAGTTAGTTTCCACATGTCAATGGTATGTATTGACCGGCTACCAATCCGCCTGAGCGCATTCCACCGCCCCTACTCGTTGACATGCTGTTTTCGAGGCCCCGCTTCACACACATCTTCTTACTGCGTCCTGGCGTATACGAGCAAAATACAGGGCTTTTGGTCAAACAGAAGTAGTCAATGATAGCTATAGTAAGGTACAGGAGGCGTAGTTGACACTGATCTCCATATGAAGCACTTCAATACGAACCGAAGTCATGGCTATCACATTCGGTGGCGCTTTCACTGCTACCGAAGTGGCCCTGGTATTACAAAGGCGCTGGAGAGCTTACGTTACATGTTTTAAAAGCGAGCGGCTTCGGTAAATGATGTTCGCACCGACTAAGCGATTGCCATTAGAAAAAGGTACCGCAGATATCGATTGTACGGCATGCTTGCGTGAGAGCAGCACATATGTGCATCAGCTTCGTATTTTGCAAGACGTGAGCTGAATTCCGGTACTAAATAGTGGATACTGAAGATATCATCGCTGCAGCACCTGGAGATAACCGTATTTTTAGATACCGCGTCATCCGAGATCATCAAACGTTTACTAGTATCTTTATGTTGTTTTCGACGATAATCTCCCGGGCAAACACATCCGACAAGTAGGGCTATCTTTCTGATCAAGTGCTACGTGGTCGACGTCTCGAGGAAAGCACATGCCCGTATCCCCAACCCTTTTCAGCAGCGGAAGTCCGCAACATGTAGTGTTCGTTGTAAAGTTTGGAAGATTGGACTCAGTCATCGCGTTGAGGAGCGCAGATTTTGGTTTTGGTAACAGGTTACGAATGTTTGAGGAAAGAAATCGAGAGCCGGAAGAGAGATATCTATACACGTAGCCAAGTAACGAGCAGCGCTCATATGCCCACGCGGTTGTTTTGTTTCAAACTGTTGAGTAGCTCAACGAGCAAGTCGTTTTCGACACATGAGCTGAGTCTGGAAGCGTTTTGAAGGTTGCGCAAGACACACATACTTTTTTTTTTCGCAACGCGGAAACAGAGCATTTCACGGTTTCACGATCAATCCAATTCCAGCATGCGACGCGAACGTCGGTGTTTGGAATGCGGAACGGAGTCTGCACACATGTGTAGCCCGTTTGCTTGTTTTCGGAGGGAGGCACCCATTCGAGGTAAACATAGTTGTTTACAGTGGCCAGAAGCCCTTTACGCATGGAATATTCGCGTAAACGTTTTGGAAAAGGACTCTCATCGATCAGAATGAATGTCATTTTGGAGAAGGAAGCTGGGATGTGCGGACGACAGGAAGGGAGAAAGGAGAGCAGGCAGATGCAGACTTTATATCGCAAACCAGGCTTCTTTCTGGGGTCTGGATGATGTGCGCTCCAAGCTTCCCACATGTGATCTTTTCTTCGATATTTTTCGTGGCGGATGGCCGTGGGCAAGTCGCTCCAATCTTTTTAGAGGCCAGACAATCTCTTTTCATGGGTATTGAGCCTTTACCATTTGGAAAAGGAACGCCCATAGCCGGCAGAGAAACATGTTTTAGAAAAAGAGAGCAAGGCTTTGGTATGAAAGAGAGAGATGGAAAGAGCCGGCGAGTTGGGGTTTATGTCTCGGCCTGGCCATGTTTCGCGTCGCCACATTCTTGGAGAGCTCCGTTCTAAAGAGACGCACCAGACTTTTGCGCACGTACGAGTTTGCTCTCTCGTTTTACGAGTGCTGTTACCCATCAAAGCTACTCTTTAGCGTTTTCTAGCGACCGGCGAATCTCCGCACATACAGCCTTTGGCTGAAACTTTGGAAAACAGACTCGCATATGTATAATACCTTGTCACTTTGGAGAGACAGGCGGAAAGCTGGTGTAAGAGGAGTAAGGAGAAGCAGAGTAAGACTTTATACTTCAACCTCTTCCCCAGATTCTTGCATGGAGCGAACGGCGAGTGTATTTTGGAAGACCAGCAGACGTCTCCACACATGGGTGGCTAGTGCGTGACTTTTTTGTAAGCAAAAGCTCAAGGCAATGTAGAAGTAAGTTTTCAAGCGGCAGGTCTCTCCACATGCCAGTAATGGCGGAGTTTTTAGAAAGACAGAGTCTCATACGATAACGGCGTGAAGTTTTTAGAAAATACCAGGTAGGTAATACTAAGAGAGAGAAAGGGTAGAGGCGAAGAAAGTGTTCATATACCCCGATAGAGGGACTGGACACACAGTCTTTGCTCATCGCAATAATGCTAAAGGCTTTCGCAACATGAACTGAACTTTGGTGTCGTTTAGTTCTTTCTCTCATGCATCTGGGAGACGCCTTTTCAGAACGACGGGCGCGACCCATGAGTAATAGCGAACAGATTTTTAAGACAGAAGAAGGGCAGTGGTCATGTTTGCGAGACTACCCCTCGTCCCCACACATCAAACTTCGCGTAGAGCATTTTCGGGAAAGCCAATCTCTCACATGGAGAGGTCCGTGGTCCTTTTCGGAAGCAGCACCAGCCGCGCAGACATTGGACACTGTCGAAATATTTTCGGGTAACACAACAACCGCGATAGTGGTTAGAAGAAAGCAGGAAGACCGGCGAGAAGTAAGAGGCTTTTATATGCCGCGAGAGTCATCGATGACCCTGCTCTGTTTTTGATTGTGGGAAAAAAGACTCCACACCAGGAAAATCATGCTGGAATCTTTGAGCGAAGCACAGGTGCCAGCACATATGGAAAGTGGCAGTCTGTTTCCAGCTCACAGCGTCTCCATGCCGAAGATGTAGATGAGTTTTGTATATGGCAGAAGGGAGGGCAGAGACAGCCATAGCGGGTTGGGACGGCGCTCTTCGACATAAGCTACTTGTCTGCTTGTTTTAGGCGACCGTGCAATCATAACTCCCAGTCGAGGTTTTGGAGAAGGCACCCCAGACATTCGTCATTTCTTTGAGCGTTTGGATAGCATTACAAGAAGGTATGGAAGGAAGGATAGAAGTCCGAAGGCGTAAATGAGGAGCCTTTGTACTCTGAGAAAGCCATAACGCATTCCGGCTTTGGATTTTGAGAACGAGGAGGAGGAGGCGCGGGACATGGAATCCAAACTTTGCGTGTTGAGAGAAGAGACCAGCTCTCTGCATGTCAGGTGCTTCCTGTTAATTCAGAACCACAGACTCTCCATACGATTGTCGTATCGATAATTTGGTAAAGAGCGACGAGAAAGCCAGGGAGAGACATCATCGTCTGACACGATGCTTTTGAAATCCATAAACCCAGATCTTCTTCTGGACAGCAGATCATATTTTTGGCGGCGTGCGTTTTTTGGAAGAGGAGTCTTCTCCATCAAAGACTTGTGTTGCCTTTTTGGCAATTGAAACAGGAAGTTATGGAATGAAGGAGGCAACCCCAACAGCGAGAATAGACGACTTTATACCTCCTCGAGAACCATAACGAGGTTGTCACCGCGTTTCGAGAAGACAGGAGAGCGCTGCAACATGTCGCGACCTACTGAGGCTTTTGTTTTCGTGCCTTCATGTTGAACCAGAACGCAGATTCTCCCTCTCCATCGTCCAAAGATAATCAGTTTTTGGACTTCTCCGCCCCTCTCATCAGGTACTCTCTGGCTGATTTGTATATAAGCACTGTCATAGCGCGGGAGTGGACATGACGAGAATGCTAAACGGTTTGGTTTCGGTACTCAAAGAGAAGGACAGACTCTCAGCCCATCACTGATGATTCTGAAGTTTTCTGGACCGCGCAGCCTCTCATGGCAGATTTACAATCTTGTTTGGATAATTGCGCAGTCGCAGAGGAGAAGTCCACATGGGTTGGTGGCAATGATATTTTGGATGTTCTTTCCGAACGGTGACTCGTTTTCGAGCGAGCGGCCGCTCACATACATTGGCGGTCCAATCTTTTTGGAAGGAGGGTCTTCTCCATGAAGTTGTTCGTGACTTTCTTTTGGAATAAAGAGGAGGAAGTGTGGAATGAAGAAGTTAAGTCCCAGACCCAGAAGAGGGGTTTATATACCCATAGGGCAAGCGGAAAACACGTGCGCAACTCCGTAGCTGCGCAGTCTCGACCGGCGATAGTTGCTCACATGACAAATACACTATTGCGAGACGTTAGATAAGATGAAGTAGTAAAATGTAGTAATTGATATTCAGCCCATCTCATGAGCCAACACTACCAAGCAATTTAAACGCCACAGTGAGGTTCGCGTCTTCAAGACACCACCACCATCACCAATGCCATGCTAAGATTTCCATCTAAATAAATATAAAGAAAAAGATATTATAGGAATTTTCAAACTTCGTGCTCGACACCCTAGCTCATATGGAAGGTCTACTCCCTCTTAAACTGCTGCTGAAACCCGCCCTGCTGCGGCGACCCCGGACTCCTATACGGGTTATTATTCGACGGGGCGCGTTGTGGCGCATTTGCGTTGATATCCCATCGCCTCTCGCCCTCGTCTTCTTCTACTTGTGGTGCGCGGGGTCGGCTGCGTGAGCGGGGCGGTGGCACCATAGTCTGGTATGAGTACTCTTCTACTTGGCCAGTAGAAATAGAGCTAGGCGATCCGGGCGCAGTGCTGCGAGGCATGGATGGTGGTGGCAGGGGACCGCCTGGCGGGGGCGCATATGTGCTTTGGCCACCGGAGGGTACTACGTGGAGTGGGAGAGGGGGAGGTGGGTTCTGGCGTGGTGTGTCGACGGAGACGCGCGAGCCGAACGGCGAGAGTGTGGTTCCTCCCTTTCGCTTTCCGGCGGAACTGGCCTTGCGGAGTAGGCCGCGGACTTCGTCGAGATCGGGTCTTTGGTCCGTGCTGGGACGGCCGATGGTGCTGGAGTCGTCGCCGCGAGCTTCCCAGGTGTCGTCACGGATGGTGTCTAGACCCGGCTTCCTGTTGTTGAGGGCGGTGATTGCGTTGCCTTCTGT